GAGCAGGGAGCCCGATGTGGGACTCGATCCCAGGACCCTGGGACCATGACCTGAGCCGAAGGCAGACGCTTAACGACTGAGCCACCCAGGCACCCGTGCAGATACCTTTTCAAGTAGGTGTTTTGTTTTTTGGTTTTTTTTTGGATAAATTCCCAAGTGGAATTGCTGGATCATATGGTAATTATATTTAAATTTTTTGAGGATTGGCTATACCAATTGGTATTGGCTATACCAATTTAGAATCCCAACAGTCATAAGGGTTCCCTTTTCTCCACATCCATGCCTGCATTTATCTCTTTTTGATGATGGACATTTTTAACAGGTGTGAGGTGATACCTCATTGCTGTTTTAATTTGCATTTCCTTAATGACTATTGATGTTGAGCATCTTCTCTTGGCCTTTCTTATATCTTCTTTGGAGAAATGTCTATTCAGGTCCTCTGCCCATTTTTAAATTGTGTTATTTGGTTTTTTGCTATTGACTTATATGTAATTGTATGAATTATAATTCAGATATTAACCCTTTATTAGATATATTGTTGCAAATGTTTTCTCCCACTCAATAGGCCTTTTCATTTTGTTGATGGTTTCTTTTCCTGTGCTGAAGCTTTTTAGTTTGATGTAGTACCACTTGTTTATTTTTTATCTTGTTGCCTGTACTTTAGGTGTCATATCCAAAAAATCATTACCAAGACCCATGTCAAGAGGCTTTATTCCTGTTTTCTTCTAGGAGTTTCATAGTTTCAGGTCTTACATTTAAGCCTTTACCTCATTTTGAGTTAATTTTTGTGAGTGGTATAAGATGTGTCTAGTTTTATTCCTTTACATGTGAATATCCCATAATCCAGTGCCATTTTGGTAGTCTGTCCCTTTTTTTTTTTTAAGATTTTATTTATTTGACAGAGAGAGAGACAGCGAGAGAGGGAACACAAGCAGGGGGAGTGGGAGAGAGAGAAGCGGGCTTCTCGCCGAGCAGGGAGCCTGATGCAAGGCTCGATACCAGGACCCTGGGATCACGACCTGAGCCGAAGGTAGACGCTTAACCGACTGAGCCACTCACGCGCCCCTAGTCTGTCCTTTCTCAATTAAATATTCTTAGCTCCCTTGTCAAATATTAGCTGACTGTATATTCTTGGGTTTATTTCTGGGTTCTGAGTTCTGTTCCATTTGTCTGTTTGTTTTTATGCCAGTACCATGCTGTTTTAATGACTGTAGCTTTATAGTTAAGCTTGTTCTTTTTTCTCAGGATTTCTTTGGCTATTTTGGGTCTTTTGTGGTTCCCTCTAAGTTTTAGGTGTGTTTTTTTCTACTTCTGTAAAAAATGCCATTGGTATCTTGATAGGGATTGCATTGACTCTATAGATGGCTTTTGGTAGTATTGCTGTTTTAACTATATTCTTCCAGTGCATGAACGTGGGTTATCTTTCCATTTATTTATATTTGATTTCTTTGATTGTTATCTTGCAGTTTTCAGAGTAGAGATCTTCTTATGTAAGTTTATTCCTATTCGATTTTGATCCTCTTGTAATGGGAACTATTTCTTTTTTAGAAAATTTGTTGTTAGGTTATAGAATTGCTACTGATATTTGCATGTTAATTTTATATCCTGTAACTTTACTGAATTCAGTGATTAGATCAAATAGCTTTTTTTTGTTGAGTCTTTTGGACTTTTATATATAAGATCATGTCATGTGCAAATAGAGAGATTTTTACCTCTTCCTTTCTAAATCTGATAACTTTTTTTTTTTTTTTCTTGCCTGATTGCTCTAGGTAGGACTTCAAGTACTGTGTTGAATAGGAGTGGTAAGAGTGAGCACCCTTGTCTTGTTCTTGGTCTTAGAGGAAGTTTTTCAACTTTTCATCATTGAGTATGATGCTAGCTGTAGATTTATCACATATGGTCTTTATTATGTTGAGATATTCCTTCTATCTCTAATTCAACTTGTTGGGAGTTCTTATGAATGGATGTCAAGTTTTGTCATATGTTTTTCTGTATCTATTAAAATGATTATATGATTCTTTTTTTCTATTAATGTGATGCATCACATTGATTGATGCATGTATGTTGAATTATTCTTGCATTCCAGGGATAAATCCCACTTGATTGTGGTGAATTATTCCTTTTAATGTTCTGCTGAATTCGATCTATTAGTATTTTATTGAGAGTTTTTGCAACTTTATTAGGTTTCTTTTGTTGTGATGTTTTGTGATGGTTTTGGTATCAGAGTAACACTGGTGTCATAGAATACTTAAGAAATGTTCATTGTTTTTCTATTTTTTGGAAGACTTTAGAGAAGCTTCGTGTTAATTTTCTTTAAACATTTGGTAGAATTTGTCAGTGAAGTCATCTGATCCTGGTGTTCGCTTTGTTGGAAGTTCTTTTGATTACTAACTCTGTAGTATTACTTATTATTCATTTGTCAGATTTTTTGTTTATTCTTTTTTTTTTTTAAAGATTTTATTTATTCATGAGAGACAGAGAGAGAGAGGCAGAGGGAAAAGCAGACTCCCTGCAGAGCAGGGAACCCGATGAGGAACTCAATCCCAGGAC